CACAGAGTGATCACCCACACCCCCAACAAGGTTCAGAGGCTTATATACCATCCCGGCAAAACAGGTTATGGGAGAGGGGAGAAGAGGAATTCTACTGAGGGGCAATAAAGGATTACTAGGGAGAATGAAGGAAGAGATAGAGATATTTAAATTCAAGTTTATCGTAACACCAAAGTAAGGTTTGGCAGGCTGCCAATTTGCCCTAAAAGATCAGATTCTTGTCTAACTCCTCAGCTTTACAAATAAAATTGTATCCTATGCATTAATTGTATCCTATGAATTAAGCATAGGAGTTAGTCAAAAGAGCTCCTTCAACAAAAACAGTGTTGCCATGGGTCAGATTCAAGAGCTAAGGAGAGTTTATTGGGTTAAAGATTAAAGTGGAGATGATCTGCAATAAAGGAGAGCTCCTTTCTCCCTTCTCCCCTCTGGATTCTTCCTTCCAAATGGCTAATGTAACCCAGGCTGAGGCTCATTGTCCTAGAAAAACTGGGAAGGTGATACAGCCAGCTCTGCCCCAGTCCTTAGGTAGAAACTCTTACTCTGCTTGGTTTCTCCTTAATCTTCTGGTAGACCAAGTCTCAACTAGCAATAAAATATCCTTCTGCCAACCACCATTACCTGCACCTCTTTTTCTCTCAAGGATCTCATGAGGAAGATTAGCCACACCAGACCAGATCTGGTGTTCAGGTACACCTGATTCCCAAAGCTGCATCCTTTCCCCTCTCAACATGCCATCTCCCACTTCCTTTCTTCCATCACCCTGACTTGGATAACCACTTGGCTGAATTTAACAATCTAAAAGAAATAAAACATAAACCATCTCACTTTCTCTAGTCCCTCAATTCTGACACTGATCCCAACCCATACTCATCAGAAGAGCATGAAAATGAAGGAGATGACTGTGTAGGAAATCAGGATGGAAAACAAACAAGCAAGAGGAGCTCAGCTTATCCAGCCACACTGACAGTTTGCACCCCAACAAAGACAGAAGGCCAAGAGCAAGTGGCAGCCCACTAATGAAGTTGACAGAGTTCTGCAGCTAGAGGCATGCATATCACATTTCATTAGCATCCCAAGAATAGATGGAGAATTAATTCACAAAGTTGAAACTAACCTGTGTTCTCCTGGGGATGTTGCAAACTGTTTTCTGCTGAAACCCAAGCAAGTAATTAATCAAAAAACAGTCAAGAGATCTGTGCCTTGCCTAAATTAAAGGTTAATGACATGCGTAAGAATTTTTTTCAGATGTCAACAAGTTCTTTCACTAAGTAGGTAACAATTTTATTTACTCTGAAGAGTACTTGACTATTACAAATAGCAGAAAAGTTCACACAATAAACCTAGGAAACACAGTGACTGTGGAAAAAATCTAGCATGCAGAGAGGAACGAAATAAAATCACTATTTTACCTAATACTGCTGAAGAGCGCCGCTGAAGTTCCTCATTAAGCTGTTTTTTATAAGGTGTAGGAGACCTCACAGATTGTGCCCTTGGAGGGAGCTGAGGGCTGGTCCAACTTCCACTCAGAGGCTGCTGCTCCCCCTGGCTTCCTTCTGCTCTCTCTGTAGCAAGGGAAACCTTGGTGTTATTTGGAAAACTAAGAATCAAGAGTTCAGCAAAGAGAAGGAAGTAGATGAAATTTTTTGGGCAATAATGTATACATGTATTACATGCATATGTAAAAATCAGGGGTTTTTAGGCCTGGCATGGTACCTCACCCCTATAATCCTAGCACTTTGGGAGGCTGAGGTTGGAGGATCACTGGAGGCCAGGAGTTTGAGACCATCCTGAGCAACACAGCAAGACCTCATCTCTACAAAAAATACAAAAATTAGATGGGCGTGGTGGCCTACACCTCTAGTCCCAGCTACCTGGGAGGCTGAGGCAGGAGGATTGCTTGGGCCCAGGTGTTTGAGGTTGCAGTGAGCTATGATGATGACACCACCACACTCTACCCCAGGCAATAGTGTGAGACCCTGTCTCCAAAAAAATTTTTTTAACTTAAAAATTAGGGATTATAAAAAAAATTCAAAGAAAGAGGCAAAATTGCAGGCCAATAATCACACCCTTGGTATATGTGATCTTTTTTTTTTTTTTTTTTTTTGAAACAGAGTCTCACTCTCTTGCCTGGGCTAGAG